TAAGCGAGACCGGCAAAGACCGAGAAACGAAAATTTCTACGCACGATCACGAGTTTTCGTCAACATGCAACGGCCGGAACGCGATTGCGACGCATATAAATGTGCGAGGAGAGAGCTTCGGGTATTCCCTCCAAATTTGCGAGATTCGCAGAGATAAGTGAATCGATAATTTTTTTCTAGATTTTTTTTCATATTAAAGTCTTTGATATTACATATCTCGATATTTCATCTCTTATATTTATCGTATCTCTCATTTGAGCTTTTATTTTTAATTCGCAAAAAGTGCCAATCTTAATTATTTCAAATAATAATTAAGATTAAATAATAATAATAATAATAGTACAAAAAATAATATTGTTACATAATTAAATTTAACAAACAGTATATTAAATAGTATATTAATTTCGTCAAGATACAAGCAAAAAAAAGAATAATACGAGCGCCAAGGCTTTGAAATCTGAAAGGGAGTCAAATTCACGTCACCTTTACACCGTTTCCGAGATTTCGAGTCGCATACTTTGTTTAGCGTCAACACGTACGCGTTAACATTCGCAACTGGTTACAGCGGCAACCGAGCACACGCATCACGAAAATAACATCCGACAGCTTAACGTATCTCGTGAACTTAACACCCCATCGAAGCCGAGGGAGCCGTCGTTTTCCGGAATGAATACACGCCTCTTTCTCGCGCATAAGCGAGGATACTCGCATCTACTACCTGCCATTCGTGCGAGAGGGTCGGCCAGCCAGCGTATACTTACCGCGGACTCACAGGTGTTAAGTGCATGCCTATTTCTCTACGCGGCTGATTGTGAGTATACGGGCGGCACGCAAGCCCCTGCCAAATTAACACGCAAAAGTCACGAATCGCGGCTAGAATATCGCCCTCGATCCTCGAACCGCTCTTTCGCACGATGTAGAAATGAATCCTTTGATAGTTGGCGTTGCAAGATATCTACGGATTAAATCGCGAAAGCTATAGTGCAATATATTTCACGTCTAAATGATACGTTTGGTTCAAGAATTAATTTTTCCGTGAAATTGTAATTCTTATGGAAATTATCGTATTCTTTTTTTTATAGAAAGGCAAGACGTTTTTAAAACATGCACTGAGAAAAATCGTTCGATTGTATCAATAAGACGTATATGATTGAAGACATTTTGATTAAATCAAACAAGAATTTCTAGTTATCATGATAAGACTCGATTTTTTATAACTAGAACGTTTAATAGATTTTACTGTAAGAATTTGGTTAGTATTTCCTGGTTGGATCTATAAAATTTCTTGTTACATTAATTTCTTTGCTTGCCACTCTTAACTTAACTCATATTCAATATTTGCCATAAAATGTATATAAAAAACTAGTATTAACATTAAATCCAAAGTATTATATTTTTTTCTCTTACGCAGTGCCAGAAAGAGGACGCTAGCTCTCTGATTGTGTGTGTTTGAACTGCATCCTCTTCTTGCATCACTATTTATCAGTTTAATTTCTAACAAACTAAATTTAAAATAATTTATTCAATAATCTGGATTGAATTTATTCAATAATCTTGTTGGAATTCAGAATATTAAACAGAATTTTGAGATTAGGAAAAAATTTTAGACGACTTGGTGCTGACGAGTTTAGTATTATTAACCAGAAAATTTGGTAAATTTAACAGGAAAAAATTAGTAATTAAAATTAGTAATTAATCAGATTCATTTGGCAATTCCTACAAGAATTCTGGTTCGTCCATTTTCCAACAGACATACTGGTTGAATTTACCAGAATTCTAATTAATGCAACCAGATTTTTTTGCACAGTGTGATACATATCAATGTTATACGTTGCATTTTCGAGGTTCCATTTGACAAAAGTGCAGGAGTAAAAATGGCAGGTCCCGTAAATTCCACGATGGACGTGGATCCATTCTTGGAACAAGAGCGTGGGTAATTGAAGCGAACGCAATCGGGAGAACTGAGGTGCCAAAACGGGTCTTAAACGAGTTCTCCAAAGATGAGATAAGGACCCCGTAATACTGGGCAAGATCGATTGCACGCGCGTAAACCTGCGAACAGAGGGGAGAAGCGCTCCGAGCTGTGTCATATTTTACGATTCATTTCGTTGTGTCCTCTCTCGCGCCTTTGCGACGTTAAATCTCGAACGGATAAGCGATCGTTTCCATATACATCGTTCGGTATAATCTCTTTTTATTCGCACTAAACACGCGTTAACAGCCGGAAGTAAATCAAGCTCGTTGATGTGTAGCCGCGCTTTCAACGAGGGCTTAATGCGCTGAGCGTTGTGGATAATTTTATAGATGCGCCGACAAAGATTACGCCAATCTCTCATGGCAGGTTTACAGACGGGCGAACGAACAAATAGTCGATCGCTTTTAATACTTTTGACATCATTGAAAATTTTCAAATCATTTCTATTTTATCAATTTTAACATTTTTCTATATTCATTATTAATGTCAAATTGTCTCGTAAAATAAAGATATAATGTATGCGAAACGCTTAAGTCATCTAACGATACTCCTCGCCTCGTTATCGACCGGTTAACCACCGGCTTCTACCTGGTATAAGTAAATACATCTCTAGATAGTTATCGGGGCTCTTGAGACGCGGACTAAACGCGGGTCGAGTTTAACGAAAATTAAATCCCACGTAATTTCGCCGCAATTAAGCGCAGGCTGGTAATTTGCGTGCCTTTACATAGCAATCTTTCGCGGCATTTTTTAGAGAAGCGAGCGACGAAACCCCGCGCGATCTCTGATCCAGCGGCTCCACAGGATCGAGATAAGCGTCTCTCTTGCGAAGAAATAAGTAGTTTAAGACAGTTCGCGTGGCCGGAGATTGGCCTGACGTCGTTCACCACCGCGCGCGAGGAGGGGAAGAGGGGGAGGGGGGGAGGGGAGCGTTTTATATACGCGAGGGCCCCGAGTGTGTTATGCATCGTGGATCCGCAGGTGCATCCCGACCGCTCCAAGTTGAAGCACGTCAAACCTGTGGTGTGGTTCCGCGCCGGAAAGACACGAAATCGCGCGTACGAAACGTCGTCGTCGGCGCGATAACGACGGAGTTTCCAGTTAAGGTGGCGAACGCGATGTTATCGATCACGCGAGATTAATTCAGTGGCGGTGCGAAAATCAAGTTAAAAAAAGACATACCCGTCGGGTCGGTTCGAATGAGGTAGAAATAAATATTTCTGTTTAGGAAATCTTTAAACCGCACGATTTTGGAGGAGAATCGCGAATCGCTTACGATTGTAGCAGGTAGCTTCTTGTGTAAAGGTGAATGGCAACACGTAAGCGAGCTTTAATCGGATGGTTGATAAATGTGCATTATTTTCATAAATGCTAGTCATTTGAATGAGAACATAATTTTATATAAACGTATCGATATAAGTCATCGATAAGTGATATTTTATTAAACGCGATAAAATACTTTGATTATCATTTCCATATCTGCTAAAGTATCTGCTATTTTAGCGCAATAAGAGAAAATAAATTTAACATTATCAAGATTTCGACAAGTGCATCGTTTAATAATAAAATAAACTTGACTTTGCTATTTACCCAGAAATATCGAATTACCACTTGAGAGACCAAAGATTGCCTATATTTCGCGATAAAATTATACGCACGATCGAATTTAGCTACAATCATTGCTTCAATCTAGTTCTCAAATAAGTCAAACAAAAAGTTTGATAGATATTCAAATTACACGATGAATTGACATTTGAAAATTTACGAAATATCAAGCATCGCGCCTCTGCTCGAGATCGAGAGGGTAGACAATCATGGGAGAATCGGCCGAAAAACTCACCTGTTATTAATTTAACATTATCAAGATTCGACAAATGCATCGTTTAATAATAAAATAAACTTGACTTTGCTATTTACCCAGAAATATCGAATTATCACTTGAGAGACCAAAGATTGCCTACATTTCGCGATAAAATTATACGCACGATCAAATTTAGCTACAATCATTTCTTTAATCTAATTCTCAGATAAGTCGGACAAAAAGTTTGATAGATATTCAAATTACACGATGAATTGACATTTGAAAATTTACGAAATATCAAGCATCGCGCCTCTGCTCGAGATCGAGAGGGTAGACAATCATGGGAGAATCGGCCGAAAAACTCACCTGTTATTAATTTAACATTATCAAGATTCGACAAATGCATCGTTTAATAATAAAATAAACTTGACTTTGCTATTTACCCAGAAATATCGAATTATGACTTGAGAGACCAAAGATTGCCTACATTTCGCGATAAAATTATACGCACGATCAAATTTAGCTACAATCATTTCTTTAATCTAATTCTCAGATAAGTCGGACAAAAAGTTTGATAGATATTCAAATTACACGATGAATTGACATTTGAAAATTTACGAAACATCAAGCATCGCGCATTTGCTCGAGATCGAGAGAGTAGACAATCACGGGAAAATCGACCGAAAAACTCACCTGTTATTAATTTAACATTATCAAGATTCGACAAATGCATCGTTTAATAATAAAATAAACTTGATGGCTTTGCTATTTACCGAGAAATATCGAATTATCACTTGAGAGACCAAAGATTGCCTACATTTCGCGATAAAATTATACGCACGATCGAATTTAGCTACAATCATTGCTTCAATCTAATTCAGATAAGTCAGACAAAAAGTTTGATAGATATTCAAATTACACGATAAATTGACATTTGAAAAATTTACGAAATATCAAGCATCGCGCCTCTGCTCGAGACCAAGAGGGTAGACAATCACGGGAGAACCGGCCGAAAAACTCGCCTGTTATTCGCGTGCCGGCGCGAGATCCCGTCATCAGGGATGCTGGCATCCCGACGCAATGGTGGGGAAGGTGGCCGCGCGCGGGGAGAGTGGGAACGTGTGCTTCGGGGTTCCGTCTGGTGCAATGATGACGATGGTGATGGTGATGGTGGTGGAGGTAGCGACGGTGACGGTGGTGGTGGTGAAGAGAGCCGACCGATGCCGACGTGCTCGTATCGCGCGGCGAGCCGGCGAGAGAGAAGCTCGGACGCACATCGCGCGAGGTAATCGCAACCTACGACGCTCTCGCGGGCTCTCGTACCGTGTCAGCAAACGCCAGTCAGCGACGGTCGTCGGTGCTCGGTGCACGGTGTCCTCACACATGGCCATGCGTCGTCCCGAGCCGGTGACGATCGCACGAGCACACCTCATCGTCGATCGCCGAGTCGCCGCCACCCCCGCGCGACCGAGGACGCCTCCGCTTGGCGAACGATCGCTCGACCCGAGGGCGAGTTGGCGCGAACCGCTGCGAGAGACTCTCGCGAGGAAGGTGCGGAGGGAATGACGTATCGCGCGTCGCAGGAACGTCGGTGAGAGGATCTATTCGGGCGGCTTTGCGCGTTCGGCGACACTCTCACCCCGGGTGGAATCGGCCGCCGCGGCGCGCGACACGCGGCGGGAGGACCGGGAGCGTGCCTCGCCTATCGGCGCGCCGCTTCGGCCGCGCGAGTCAGTGCTCGGATTTCCGCGCGAGCGAACGCCGCTTTCGCCGCTCGCTCTCGTCGGGGGACGCGAATTCTTCATCGCGATCCGGAAGTGCCGCGATCGATCGCATCAGTGTACTCGATGATACTCGGCTGAACGGCTAGTGCGGGTCTCGTCTTGAAATTCCGACAGTGCGTATCCCCTCGCGTCGTACCGGCTAGACTCGATTCTCGAGACGTCTGAAAAAAGTGCGGCACGACGACGGAGTGGTCTCCCGGTGTGTACACATCGCGGTGCTCCGAGTACTCCTTGGCATGGTTACATAAACGGCCTGGACCGGAGAGGCGGTTTTCTCGCGAGAGGAAGCGAGCAGAACCGAGAAGGAGTCACGCTGACGTCTGTCATCGGCAGTTGCGCTCGAGAAAATCCCGGAACGGCAACCATTTCCCCGGCGAGTTCGCGATCGACCGCACCGCGGAAAAGGATCTCGGGCGAAAAGGTACCGTGGAAAGACTCTCGAGAAACGAACAACGCCGTCGGCGAGCACGACGCGAGGCGCCGACGGTCGATTCGCGTCGATTTCGCTCGACGATGACGAGCGCCTCGCGCCTCGCTCGATCAGACGTCATTCATCATCCTCGGCGCCGCGTTGACAGCACGCCAGGCGTCACCGTGATCGGCGATCGCGTTACTTTATCGTCGAGATAGCGTCGCGACGACTCGTCCCGCTCCCCCGGAAGGCGAGGAGGAGAATAATTGCGGGAGGAACGCGCATACGCGGTCCCTTCTCGACGGGGCCGGAGGGCAGCCGAGCGCGATCGGAAGGAAGTAACGTATAGTCCCGGGTCTCCTCGCGATCGGCGCCTCTCGGACCGTCGTATATCTCGACGGTAAATGCGCGCAAATTATGCGTCTCGCGCTTCTCTCTCCGCAGCGAGGGGAACGCACGGCGTCTAGAGGCAAGAAGAACGGCCGAGGAGAGATAATCCGCCTGTTGCGCTTTCCTTCACCTACGGATCTTCTTCCCGCCTCTCGTTACCGCGGTGAGAAACGAGTGCCAACGACTGACTTGGACGCGGACAATCCTTCGGGGACGGGGGTGCGGTGGTGCGTTTGACATATCTATTCGCGAGAAACACGTATCTATTCGTTGTCCGCGTTAATCATTCTCACGTGTGTTGTGATCGTCGCCTCTTTGAAAACTTGTCCTCGTGATTCGAGGAAGCTCGGGCAAGAGGGCCACGCGATAATCATACGTTTCGACGTAATGCGAGAGCGTTTCTTAAACAACGACTCGTATCGAGAGTGAGCGGAGATTGTGCTATTCCGGAAAAACGAGCGATTGATTTTTCAGACAATTTTTTCGACGACGGACAAGAGCCGGTGACATTTCTTGGTGCGAGAAGGCGAAACGTTCGATCCCGTTATCTCTCCTACTAGAAAATCCATTCGTTTAGACCTCGAGAGCCGACAATAATACACATTTCAACGATTGTACGTCGTGTAATCCACGCGACAGTTGGTCGATTCTTCTCTACCTTGCTTCGCGCGAGCAAATATTCTTAATCGCCGCGTCCGATCGGATCTTCGTGTTCAAGATCTTCGACCGGGGGGGATTCTGAGAAACATTCAGTCATTCAGTCGGCGCGAATAAGAATTCGCTCCAAGATTCGAGAGAACTTAACGTCAGAGTGGTGCTGCGTCGCCGGGGAAGAAAATCTAGACACGGAGCCTGGCCCCCGTTGCATTCGTTCCGGTGAGTGTTGTTAATTAACAAGTTATGCGCGATATAATTATACATCTATCTCGGTCGTAAGACGTCGAGAACGTTTTAATCCGACCGCGAATATTTCTACATGACACACGTCTGGACGAGAAGTAATATATTTCGCCTAATGACGTAATTATCGGATAAAAAGAACGTAATCGCGATCTGGATTTATTTATTCTCACGCGGCCGGAGCGAAAATATTCGATAATTATTCGTTTGCGGTTTTGCACGATTGTCGACAGGATGATTTGTTGATTGACCGTCGCCGCAGTCACCGCAATTGCGCCGTTACTATCGAAATTAACATAATGCGAGCTAGAAACGCGGCCCCAAAGGCTAACGAGCCTTGAGTATGTGGATTTCGAAAAAAAAAAGGGACGAAAAAAAAACGCGGGAACGCGATATCCTTCGTGGGCGCCGCGTGCGTGCGTGCGTCGTACGTGCGTGCGTGTCGCGTATGCGGTACACGCGGCGAGAGGCTTTATCTCGACATCATCGGCCGTCTCTGCAACGCAAACAATTTGAGGGAGACGTTCAACCTTAACGCGTGCGCGTTGCCGCTTTTCGAAGACGATCGTCGTATAATGCCATCGCGCGAAATAATAAATCCGCTCGCGCATCGAGAAGGAAGATGAGAGCAACGAGAAACCGAGAGGGAAAGCCGCGAAAGGAACAAGAGAGAGAGAGGGCGCAGAGAGATATACAAGGTGACTCGGAGCAATCGCATTTATTTTCGATAATAGGCACTTTAACGAGATTTTTGTATTAGTAATGTTCATATTAAAGATATTTCTCTCGTGAATCAGAGTCGATTGAAAAAGTCCAGCGAATGGAAAAAACTGATAAATTCTGGTTTTTACCGTCTCGGACTTTATCCAGTGGAATAATCCAATAATAAAAAGTATACAAATAATTAATATATAATGCTAAGATATATTTATAAAATTGCACTCTATAGTATATTTATATTTTAACTTTATGCAAAAGGTATTTTTTGCTTTAATTAGTAATTATACTAATCAATATTGTTTGAAAAAATAAAATCAAGAAAATAATAAATATAATTAATATAATAATGAATAATGATAGTCTTTTTTTAATTTAAATTAATATGTGAAATTTTTGAAACAAAACTTTAGGGACATAAATAATTACTATTAGTAAATTTTATATTGATTTTTAGTTTAATAAGAGGAATGTAATAGAACAGAATTAAATTTCTTCCCATCAATATAGATCTCATTCGCATTCGAGATGTTCTTCAATAACAAATCAATTTATTTGCTACGTCGACTTTTATCATGGATTTCATTTAAAGTTTAAACTCTCAATTGAGGACAAATGTAGATAAAAATCTATTTATTTTAACATTCATTTTTAATAAAAAAGATTAGCACTTTTGTTCAATATCGCTTTTCACTAGCACTTGGATTTTATCCAAAAAAATGTGAAATTTTGCAATTCTGTATCGGATTTATTTTTTTCCTTTCCAGTTATGAATGTAGTATCCATCTAATATTAAAGGAGAGAGTACGATCGAACGCAGTCACCCTGTACAGACAATACGCGAAACGTATGAGATCGTAAATCGTGGTTGCACCGTTTCGCGGGATACGCCCCGTTAACTCGCGGGTTAAATGAGGTTACAACCCGTCCCTCATTTTTTGGGGTGAACGACAACGCTCTCTCTCTCCCCCTTTCTCCTTCTTTCTTTTTCTTTTCCTTTAGATTGGTATATCGGGAAGAGGGATGGGAATCGTGTACTCGACCTCTCGTCGATTTCTGATCGGGTTAAGCAAACATCGGGCCGGTTCTCACCTCTATCGCGATAATAGCTGTAATTTCGGCAGCTTCCCGGTCCCCCACCTCCTCTCTCCTCCTCTCGATTTCACGTACGCGTACTCTCAGATTGCAGAGGCCGATCGCGGCGGATTTGATTGCACGTGCGCGCGACCGTCGATTTATTAACCCCCTGAGCGCTCGGTTCTTCCCCTCTCACCTGTGTCTACATCAATCTCATGCGGAGGGAGGGGGAGGGGGCGAGGTAAGATCGTCTACCTCCGAGGTAACATATTTTTACGCGCGTTCTCTCCCTTGCGGAAAACATCGTCAACAAGCTATTACGTGTCATAGCATTTTGCTCCTTTTTTTTGTCATTAGATATATTATGTTATTTCGCACTAGTCGGAATTTTTGATCTCTCCGAATTTTTTATTCCTGATAGAGTGATGTATTAGCCGCTCGTCGCTTCTGCGGATTCGCTTTATTAATCGCCATCGTTCGCGACGCAAATGACGGCAATTTATCAAGTTGTATTTTGCTATATTAGTTTTACCAGTAGTCTCCCTCTCTCTCTCTCTCTTTTTCTATATATATGTATACATATGCGTGTTCCTCGATTACTTCTCTCGCGTATGCGGCGTCCGCCAGAGACAGGCGAACGGCTGCAGTGAGCTGCAATGAAGCTGCAATGAAGTGCACATCCGACATGCGCGCGCGTCTGGACGTCGACTTCGGTGAGCATCAGAATCAGAGGCAAGAATCCACGATGACCGACGCATTTTCCGCGTAACGTGTTACGCACCACGTTTCAATGCGGCTTTGAGGGATTTTTACCTGCTCGCGCGAGCAATGACATTCCTCTGGAAACCAGAATTATAATCCTTGGATGAAACGGTTATTACCTATATATGAATACAATGCGCTGAAATGAATAAGGCGACTGAATTTTTTAATTCACGAACCGCGATTCACACTTTAATTTATCGTTACGATCGTTAATGCGAAGACCGCACTGAGAAAAATCGTTTGATTGTAAGACAATAAGACGTATATGATTGAAGGCATTTTGATTAAATCAAACAAGAATTTCTAGAATTTCTAGAATTTTTAGAATTTCTAGAATTTCTTTTCTTTCTATCATGATAAGATTCGATTTTTTATAACTAGAACGTTTAATAGATTTTATTATAAGGATTTGATTATTATTTTCTGGTTGGATCTATAAAATTTTTTGTTACATTAATTTCTTTGCTTGCTGCTAGGCGGCGAGCCACTCTTAATTTAACTCGTATTCAACATTTGTCATAAAATGCATATAAAGAATTAGTATTAACATTAAATCCAAAGTATATTTTTTTCTCTTACGAGCAGTAGTGCCAGAAAGAGGACCCTAGCTCTCTGATTGTGTGTGTTTGAACTGCATCCTCTTCTTGCATCACTATTTATCAGTTTAATTTTTAATAAACTAAATTTAAAATAATTTATTCAATAATCTGGATTGAATTTATCCAATAATCTTGTTAGAATTCAGAATATTAAACAGACTTTTGAGATTGCTGGAAAAAATTTTAGACTTGATGCTAGTGAGTTTAGTATTATTAACCAGAAAATTTAACAGGAAGAAATTAATCATATTCATCTGGTAATTCCTACAAGAATTCTGGTTCGCCCATTTTCCAACAGACATACTGGTTGAATCTACCAGAATTCTAATTAATCCAACCAGATTTTTTTCTCAGTGCGTCTTCGATATCAGCGTGGAAGAATAATCATTTAACGCGAGAAAAATGCAGAGCTATATGTATGTTTCAAGTTCAGTGTTATCTAATTGTTGAACAACAGTTGTATTGTTTTCAAAGAAATTGTAGAAATATATCTCGCTCGAGTTGCGCGTGATTGCGTTTAAATTTGTCCCCGCTGAAAGAAAAAGATTCCGATAGAGAGAACGATGAGAGAGAACGAGTGGTGTTATATGTATATATAAATATCGCATTGCACGTGTGGAGATAACGTAGTCATCCGAGGCAATCAACGCGATCCGCGTTGCAATCTCGATCGAGCCGCCTTGTAATCGGTCAGTCGAGTGCATATTTCTTTTTATTTTTTTCTTTTAAGCAATAATTTTATCTTCGCTCAGTCTCAAGGGGTGTTGTCTCTCGCTTTCGACGTGTCTTCGTTTAACTCGATGCAGTGATAAAGCAGATTGCGCGGCATTTTTCATCTGGAAGGGACGATGAACGTTCGTCTTTCTCTATCTAAAGCGCAAATTTGCCACCTTCGTCCCGCAATCGGACCCTGACAGCCCCAAGTACAGGACGGTTTGTTTAATTACGTCCGTCCGCACGCTCCGAAAACATGCACGCGCATTAAACGAGAGAGTGGGGGTGTGAACTGTGAATGAAACTAACCACTCTACGCGCTGTCTTCTCTGAATGGGCAACCGCCAGGAGACCGCGAAGAGCGCGGTATATTTCCGTTCGTGTTTATAGCGCGGATGCGGCCGGGGATACTGTCGGGACATTTGAAACGTAGCAGATCCGCAGCTATATCTAAGAATTAGTTAGGGCAGCGAAACGGGAGGAGAAAAGACGGCCCGCCGACTGTCGTCGTACAAATAATGACTATTTTCAGCGACATTAATCGCGCGTTATTGCATTGCCCGGCGTGATCTTCGTGGAATCGCGAGATTTATTATTTATTTAAACAATTCGAGCGACAATATCGAGAGTATCTGCCGGAGAGAGAAAGCGAGAAGTGATAGAAAGTCTCATTAGCGGCTCGCTCACGCGGCCATTATTCGCGAAATATCATTAATTCCTTCGTCACGTGCGGAAATCATCGATCTCGTGGACGCGATGATAAACGAACGCGTCGATGGAGATGTATAACATATGTATGTCGAGCCCACAAGCTCGTTGATGTGTTTGCGCACCTTTTCTCATTGCTTCTCCCCTGAAAGGATCCTATGCCAAGTCTATGATAGAGGTGCTTCCAATAGAGACGTCCGTGATCGCACCTGTAATTCTTTCGCGACGCCCACGCGAGCCCACCGTGTCCTGTTGGAGAAGAAGGGAGTCAGGAGAGGAGGAGAATGACCGTCTCTTATCTGTGGAATGTGCGTGATAACGATTGATTGTGCTTGAAACGATTTGTTCGATAATGCTTCTGGAAATTCCGCGAAGGCGGTTGCGAGATTGTGAAAA